CTCTTAAAAATTACATAAATTCAGTTTGGTAAATTTTACATATTTGGTCTGAACTTTGAAGAATTAATTTATGGATAGATGGAGAAATAAGTATTATTATGTAAATTCCAACAGTTAGCTTTTTCTTTATTCTGTTGTTATGAGCAATAGCAATTTGATGAGGAAACCAAAGCTTTTGTTTTGAAGAGGTTGTGATAAGTAATATCTACCAGCCTTCATCTTTATAAGTTGGCAGCCTGTTTGTGGACTGCAAAGTAAACCAAAGTGAAAACAACTTTTCTGAAACTAAGGCCATGGAAAGATTTTCCATGTAAATGGATTGGAAGTCATTAATACTGTTACGATATTATCATCAAGTTGATGAGCAGTTTCAGATCAGTCTGTATTGAAATTCCAGATGGACCTTTTGTAGAAATTGATAAGCTGGTTCTACAATTTGTATGGAAATAAAATCCTTGAAGAGCCAAAAATCACTAAAACTAATGTTCAAGGGTTTACTTTTTAAACCTTAATATAAAGCTATACTGTAGTAATCCAGGCTGGATGGTACTGACATACCATTGGGACAGGATCAAGATTCCAGAAATGAGCCCATATAGTTATGATCAGTTGGTTTTTGGCAAGCGTGCCAAGACAATTTAATGGAGAAAGAATAATTTTTAACTAATAGTGTTGAGACTGCTGAATGTCCACAGAGAAGAACGAAATTGGACCCTTACCACATACGCAAAAATTAACTCAGAATTGATCAAACACTTGCATTTAAGAGCTGAAAGTAAGAAAAACTAAAGTCCAAATTATTAAACTGTTAGGAAAAAAACAGGTATAAATCTATATGACCTTTGGATTTGATTTCTTAGCTATAACACCAACAGCACAAGCAGTGAAAGAAAAAATAGATAAATTGGATTTCAACAAAATTTAAAGTTTGTGTTTCAAAGAACATGTCAGAAGTGTGAATAAATAACCCACAGAATGGGAGAAAATATGTGAGAATCACATATCTAATAATATCTAATAATTGTCTAATATCAAAACAAAGCAGAATTTTTATTTCCCATACTTAAATTCAGACTAGTGTGGTAGACGCTGAGCGTGGTGGCACATGCCTGTAATCCCACCACTTGGGAGGCTGAGGCAGGAGGATTGCTGTGAGTTGAGACCAGCCTGAGCTACATAGTGAGTTCCACGTCAGTCTCAACTACATAGTGAGACCCTGTCTCAAAAAAAACAAACCAGACTAGTGTGGTAGATTACCATAATTACCACATACGGTTTTTAAAGAGATTTGTGTGTGATCCTGAGCTCCATCACCCTGACTTGAAATGCCAATTGCAGTACTAATATATACAGTGAAACCTTGAACTTTCCTCTACTCAGAACAGCAAAGTTAGAAAAAAAATCTGCTTGGTGTTTGTAACTTTGTTTGATAGTTGAGCTGGATATCTGACTTGAAAAAACCAGTCCTAGTTGAGAGTGAGTTATGTGTGGCCTCACCCTGGACACAAGGGGGTGACTTTCAGTCTAAGTGCTGCTCTCGCCCAGACAATGTGTAGTGTTTGTGTTAGTGTATTAAAGCATTTTGTCATTGTGCTTTTTTTTTTCATTTTATTTGTGTAAAGTAACTATGGCTTTAAAGAAAATTAGTGACACCACCATAAAGCTAAGAGGAAAACCGTGAGAACTACAATAGAGTTAAAGAAAGAAAACATTGTGAAATTTGTTAAAAGTACTGGAAAAAAATGGACTTAAGAGGGTAATTTGGGGGCCTCAAAACCAGTTATTTTGTCTTCATTATTTCTCATGGGAAAAATATGTTCATTTCTCTTAACATTTCATCGTTTGCACATGAATTTTGAATGAATTAAATTTGACAACTGAGGAATCACTGTACTGTTTTCAAGGGTAAATGAAATTTAAGATACCATAAAATAAAGTCTGAAGCTCGAAAGTTAGTTTTAATGGACAGAAGGGGAAAAGTAAACATACCATTCAGGTATAAAGTGCTCAACAGTAATATATTGCCTAACTTATGGTACATCTCTTTAGTGTTCCCATCATGTGAAGTAAATAATAGAAAATTCTTTGCGTGTCACGTCTCTTTTCAGCCAATCAGAAACAAGAATTATTTTGTATGTAATAATGAGGTTACTAGGTGAAGAGCTATAAGTAGGACCTGAAGGATACAGTGGCTATATAATAGGACTTTTGAATTGTAGCAAACAGAAAATTGATCTGCTGTGCTTAGCATTTTCAGATTTTCTGACTCCAGAATGTATAACCTTATTTTTCACCAGTTACAGGTTTTAAAATGCTAGTCATTCTTAATACTTCTTAAGGTAACAGCATTGAGCACTGCTTTTACTTTTGATGAGATAATGGGCTGTGAAGGGAAAATTCCCAGATATTAAGAGAGAACAAATTTTACAAAAAATGTCTTCGAGATTTCATTCACCATCTCTACCAGTTTTCCTCTCACCAGAACCAGTTAATATAGGTTCTGTAACAAATTCCTCTTGTTCATTAAATGAGCTAGATAATATTTCCCACCTTTTAAGAAAAATATCAACTGATGTCAATGAAATTAAAGGAATGAAAGCAGCAATTTTGACAGTAGAAGCAAATCTTTTTGACCTAAATGTTAGAGTGTCACAGAATGAAGCAAAAATTTCCTCTTTGGAGGTTAAAATGAATGAATGTTCAGCATCAGCATCTGAATGCAACAGACAGCTGGAAGATTTTCAAGCTGAAATAGATTTTGAATCTCAGTCAAGGGATACTGATGTAAAAATAATCGACTTCCTCAGAAATACTGAAAAAGGTAAACTCTTGTGATGTTTTCTAGATACTCGTCCTTTGATCTGTGTCTTTCCATGTGTCTTTAACTGTAGCTCTGATACAGAGGCAGCAAGTCATAGAGAAGTGAAGTTTTCATGGAGTTAAACTGTGATTCAACTTAAAAGCTTAAGTATTTTGTCTTTAGTGGAGCTCTCTAAAATGATGTTTTGAAACAATAGATTAAAGATGAAACAGAACTTGACGTGTGACATAATGGTCCTCTGCCAAATATCTGTGTGAAGTTATTTAAAAATGTGTAACTTTTCCTTAGTTATATGTTAAAGAGACTGGTTGTAGTATTTAGATTTAAAGCATTCTTTCTATAACCTGTAATATGTCAAGCTGTCCCAAGGAATACAATGAGACCAAATGACACTTGGGTTTCAGGTCTGTTCCTCGGGATGTATATTGTGTTCAGGATGATTTTGGAAGAAAGTTACCCTTTTTTGGACACACCATGATAGGCTAATATAACAAAATAACCAATAAAACAGCAAATAGAGTAAAATTTTTAAAATTTAAAAGTTCCCTGCAATGAAAAGTACCTGGTGAGATTGCCCACTTCCGTGTTTGCATGGGCAAGACCTGTCCTTGTAAAGCTACATACAACAGATGCACTAAAAATCAGCACGTAAACCAAACATCCTAGTAAGATTGAAGTGTTTGAAACCCTACCAGTTATGTCCCTTTCTTACGTCATAGTGTAGTGCTTAATTCTAAATTAGCAAATGGTGCCTGACACATGCTAAGCACCTCGGGGAATACAGAGACGTGCAAGATCCTTTCCATCTTTTAAGCAGCTCGGGAAGGTAAAATCAGTTCATCACTGTTTTTTGCAGTTTGGCCTTTAGGGATATTAATAAAATATTAACTTAATATTGAGAACTGATATATGAGCTTTGTAAAGAATAAATACTCTAGTTAGCTATTTTTTTCCCCCCATATTGGGGTTTAAACCTTGGGACTTCACACTGACCTGCATCCCCCGCCCTTTTTGTGATTTATTTTGAGATCAGATCTTGGTAAGCTACTAAGTTGCCCAGGTTGGGCTCGAACTTGTGATCCTCCTGCTTCAGCCTTTCAGAGTGTTAGGATTATGTCATTTTTGAGCACCTTTTCTTGAAGCAGATCCAAATAATTACAGTCATGTATTATTTAGCAATGGGGATGGTCCAAGAAATCCATTTTAGGTAATTTTACCATTGTGCAGATGTTGAATGAACTTATGCAAACTAAGATAGCTGCAGCCTCACTGGGTGATGAGATCCTTGGGTACCAATGTCATACATGGAGTCCACTTGGTCCATGTTACCCAGGACATTGACTATGTGTTTAATGTTTTGCTGGTATAAGGCCTGGACTGCAGAATTTTGAGAGCCATATTTGAGTGTTAGACTTGTTTATTGTTTTTACATCTTCCTAAGCCCATAATTATCTTTTGGGCTTAGGATTTCATAATTTTTTTTGGTTTTTTGAGACGGTCTCACTATATAGTTGAGCCTGACCTGGAACTCACTATGTAGCCCAGGCTGGTCTCGAACTCACAGCGATCCTTCTGCCTCAGCCTCCCAAGTGCTGCGATTGCAGGCATGTGCCACCGTGCCTGGCTAGGATTTCATAATGTGAAAACGAGTATTCTGTTTTGTTGTTTTCAGGGAGGGGAGTTGGTGCAGAGAAGGGAGCAGTACTGGTCAGGCCCAGGTGATGGAGGAAGATTTGTATTATGTTTATCTTGCAGTTGACTGTGGCACATGCCCCAAGTCCTGACTCTTAAGGAACTTGTGACTGTTCCGTTCTTTACCTTTACTTCTCTCGTAGGCTTTACTTCCAGTCCAGGAAAGCTGGCCCTCTCATGAAGGAAGAACCAGGACTATGTCCTCATTGACATTTCCAGTTTAACCCTGAGTGCAACATTTTGTCTTGGGCTGTGCCTGTGGTTTTGAGTTTATTTTTGAAGCTTGCTTGCTTGCTTTCTTTACTTTTGGTACCGGGGATCAAATTCGGGACCTTGCGCTTATGAGGCAGGCGGCGGAACCACTAGGCTAAATCCCTGGCCCTGAACCTTTATTTTTAAGATTTCTTGTTAGCTCAGATTAATTTCTGAGTGACAGATGCTGGTATTGTGTGTTGAGTTCAGTGAAGTTTTAAAATTTATATCCTAGGAACCCAACAGAGGCAGTTATTAGCCCGACTGCAGATTGACCCAGTGATGGCAGAAACACTGCACATCAATCAAGGTTGGTAACACATTTTCACTGTAAATAGCAATTTTCTGTTGCCATTCTCATTCCTTACACCTCATTCAGCACATCTTTTATCATTTAGATCCTGCCAGAAGATCCCACATATAGATCCATGAAAATACTTTAGGGCTAAGAGAGATGATTTTCATTTTCTTCATGTATTGTGTTTCTGTTTTTATTTGCATATTCAAAAATTTCTTTTTTTTTTTTTTAATGCCATTCCTCCTGGATTCCTAGCTGTTTACCCTCTTGCTGTCATGGACCACCTGAGTCCCTCACCTGACTTGTTGTCCATCTCTGCCCTACCTTTGCCATTGTTCTGAGCTGCTTTACCTGTTCATCTTTATCCTTCTTTGACTTCACCTGGCCACTCCTGGAACTTGTTCCAGAGTCACTGTCATGTCCTTGTTTCTCTGCCACCCAGACACATTGCAGGCAGCTTCAGGACTGGGGCGAGTGCCTGGTGCCTTGCTCCTAATTAATGCAGGGAGCCATTCAGTAGTGGATATCATCTTTGTCCTCTTTGTCTGCCCTTTTTTGGTGCCTCTGTTTCCTTGATCCCTTCTATGATAGCCCCTTTCTGAATTTTCTCTCTGCCAAGCAAGATTCCACTGTCTACCCAGACTGTTCCCTGACCCATTCCATGCTTTCTGTCCCAGGTGTGATTTTTCCTCTTCAGAGATTCACCTCCACCTGCCCATTCAATGAGCACAGTTGTGTTGCCATGGTCTCTGCCTCACCTCTGGCTTCTTACTTCTACCTGGATTTTGCGCTCATTTTCCACCATTCCATTCTGTTTTCAGCGAGTATCTTCCAAAGAGTTTTGAATCAGGGTCTGTGTGTGTCACATCCACTTCATCAGTTCTCGTGCGTTTTTTCTTTTTTCTTTTTTTTTTTTTTTTTATGTTTACATTGCATGTGTACATCGAAGCATCAAGTAGATCAGCGAGGCTTAGGGTGACCGCAGTCCTTAACCCCTGTCATGTTTTATTTTTCTTTTATTTCTGAGAGCCTTATGTTTTTGTATATTCTTCAGGGCCTTGGTGCTGAGTTACGTGCTCACACTCCCCACTTTATTATTATTTTTTATTTTGCGACAGGGCCTTGCCGTGTTGCCGAGTTGCCCAGGCTGGGCTCCATCTTGGACTCTTCCTGTCTCAGTCCTCCCGCCTCAGCCAGCCAGAGTACTTGGGGGATAGGCATGTATTTCTGAGGCTATTAAAGTTGTTTTGACATTTTTTCCATTCCCTCCTTGGTCTTGTTCCCTTCAGCTTGTTTCATGATAAAGTTTTGCATGTTGGGGGTTCTTGGTTATGTTATTTAAGTGTAGAACACTAAAAAGCCCATTGGTGTGCTGGGTTCATGAGTTGGGGCCTGGGATCTGCAGATTTCTTGTTTGAATGTGGATGTAGCTGTGGAGAGTGATTTGCCAGTCTAATTTGGCACGCTGCTGTCAATGCCTTTAGGCCTTTCAGGCCAGTCTGCTACTACAGAGGTCTCTGAGGTAAAAGCCTGAATGCAAGAGTTCAGGTAACTCACAGGAGAAAGGCCTGGGCAGTGCAGTGCAGCAGTAATTCTGACGCAGTGTTTACCTAACCCCCTCCCCATTTCAGTGCTGACTTCTTGTAGCATGGCCGGCATCCCAGATGCACAGACACTGTGTGGACCTTCTCTGTAGCCCATGGGAGGACGTGTGTAATGGGCAGAAGGCCATCGGGAAGTCTGCCTTTGGAATGTACTTCCATTGTGTGTAGTGCCTCCAGTGAGGTAGGGGTGAGGAAGGTGTGCTGAAGAGTTCAGGAAGGACTGACGGCTGCTGCAGCGGACCCTCTAACACACTTCTCTCTTGCCCTTTCCAAGGTCCCCTTTGGTGCCACTTCTTCAGCCTTTGGAGACTTTTGTGATCTAAAGTTGATGGCTTCATTATTGACTTAGGGTTTAGTCTTTGCTGATCTACTAAGTTCCTGTTGATTTATTTTCTGTTTTCAAAATGTGATTCTCTGATTTTACAGTTTTCATTGTGGGTTTATTCTTTCTTTGTTAAAACAGATCAAAACTTTAGGGGACTGGGGATTTAGCTCAGTGCTTCCTCCACCTGCCTCATCAGTGCAAGGTCCCGAGTTTGATCCCTGGTACCACACACACACACACACACACACACACAACTTTGGGGATGTAGCTTACTGGCAGAGTGCTTGCATAGCATGATCAAGGTCCTGGGTTCTATCCTCGCATTGCAGATGGGGAACAAAACCCCTTTGACATTTTTGTGGACCATAATGAGAGGGAAAAAAGTAAATGCATAGGTTTAGCCTGCTCTTTCTCTACCAGAAGATGTCAGCTACTGTCCGAGCTCCTGGCTTCCATGTGACCTAGGTTTGCAACATTGAGCTTGCAGAGGTGACTGGTGGCTTGTATGGAATGGAAAGCTGTGATTTAATTGCATATCCTTATCCCCATTTTTGAGACAGGGTCTCATTGTATAACCCAGGCCGGCCTTGCACTCTCATTGATCATCCTGCCTCAGCTTCCCAAGTACTGAAAGTACAGGTGTGTGCCACCACACCTGCCTTCATCACACTCTTTCCTAAACTGTGTACCTATGACACATGGGTTCTCAGGTTTTCTTGAGTCTTTGATCCATTGGCTTTCAGAATTTCACTATTTTGATTCTTTTTTTTTTTTATGATATGGGTGGGGGGTGAACCTATACCCAGCCCTTTTAAAAATTTTATTTTGAGACAGGATCTTGGCTAAGTTGCCTACCATCATGTTGTACTTGAGGATCCTCCTGCCTCGGCCTTCTCAGTAGCTGGGATTGCAGATATGTACCATCACAACAGCTCTTCTCATTCATTTTTATTTTTTGTCATCTCTCCTCCACTACTCCTTAGAAGATTAGCTTCACCCTGTGTCCTATCCTTGGTGTTACTTCATCTCTTCAGTATTTTCCTGACATATGGACTAGTGAAACTGCTGTACTTCAGAAAGCACATTTGGAGAGGAGGCAGGGGCTTTTGTACCAGTTGGCGAGGTGACAACTAAACACACACAGTTGATACTCATCTTTCCTCTTCTGCTTTTAAGTCTCTTCCCTTCCTGAGAGTTAAATCTGAGTTTTCGTCTTCCTCGTAACATGTGAGATACCCACAAAGGCTTCATACTAAACTTTGAAATTTATCTTTGCCACCTTTTCAGTCTGCTCTTTGTTTCTTGTACCTCCTGTCTCAGCTTTTCCTCCCTCCTGCTCTCCCCTCAGGTCTGTCTTCCTTTACCATCTGTCTTGCCTTCATTTAGGAAGAGATTTTTCCTTCCTTTGATACTGGATTTTGAATCCAGGAAGTGCTGAGCTATATCCCCAGCCATTCCATTCCATTTCGTTTCATTTTTCATTTTGCGAACAGAGTCTTGCGTAGGTGCTCAGGCTGGCCTCAGACTTGTGATCCTCATGCCTCAGCTTCCCAGAGTACTGGTATGACAGGTGTGCACCACTACAAGTCCTTAATACCATTTTCCTAAAAAGCAATTTCATCGTATTACTTTCCTGCTTAGGAACCTCTCTTAATTTTTTATTACTTCCAGACCAAAATTCAAATAATTGAGACAAGATTCTTCATTGTATTCTCAGCTTTCTTTGCCATACAACTACCCAGCTCACCACACATTTCTCTAGCTGTCTTGGATTTCTCACTTTTTCTCAGATGCCTTATGGAAAAGCCCCTGCCTTCCTCCGTGCATTTTTCTGTGCCTGAGGTACACTGGTTGCTTTCTGCTCACACTCTCCTAGTTTATTCCTGCTCCTTCCTTCAATACCTACTTGAGATTTCATCCTCAGCAAGCTTCCTTGGTTCCTCAGCTGGAGTAGTTTGCCTTGTTCATCCCCCTTTTGGGTCATACTGTTCTGGAGCTGTTCATCTGTTTTCTTTTTCCTTCTTGTGTAACTAGTTATGCTGTTACTCTTAGTTTTGTAGTAAATATTTATTTTCTCAGTGAATATCCTGTGAATTTTGTCCTGATTACCTCTGGGTTTGAAAGAAGTGTCTTGGCAGTTAATGGCATGTTGACAGGTCAACCATGTGTAGATTATGTAAGCTTGAGTTACTTGCATTGAAGGTCAGCCTTACGCTCATTCATCTTAAAATTCCCTTTCAAAGTAGCCTCTTTACGAGATAAAAGTCATGTCGTATGAGTTCTTTCAATATGTGTTCTCTGCTGTATGTGGTACTGTGCAAACTTAACCGATTTTAGAAAAGTAGTTCGATAATCTGGATCCTAATTCTGGAAGACAGTAAGATTCTCAATTCTCTATGTCTGTAGTATGTATTGTTAATATCTCACCAGCAGCCTCCCAGGAGAACCTTTCTCTGGCTCAGGCCAGTGAGTGTTCATTTGAATCACTTGTAATGTGCCCTTTAAAGAAAGGACTGCCTGAGTTCTTTGCGAAGATATTTGGAATAGCAGCATAACCCTGTTCCCAAGTAGAATCAGTTATGAGTTTTTAAAATAATTATCAATATATAAAAGACTGACATTCTTTGTCACATGTATGATGTTGGGAATAAAATTTATTCAAAAGCAAACATTTATGGCCAATTTTTTTGGCTCAGATTACTATGACATGGAATCCATGGTCCATGCAGACACAAGATCATTTATTCTGAAGAAACCAAAGCTGTCTGAGGAGATAGTAGTGGCACCAAACCAAGAGTCGGGGATGAAGACTGCAGATACCCTTCGGGTACTTTCAGGACACCTTATGCAGACACGGTAGATGGTTTCTTTTTCTTGGGTAGCTAATTTATGTGGTTAGATAGTGCAGGTTGGTGGTTAGTGCCTCAGTACCCAGTAGCAGTGTTTTTATTGAGCAGTTATGTCATGAATACCCAGATTCAGTTTTCAAAAACTGTAATTTATTCTACTTGTTCAGAAATCCAGTAATCTACAAATAACTCAGCATATGATTTAACTCCATTAATAAGATTGTTTTCTTTATGCACATCCATAAAATGAAATCTTAGACGCCAGGTGGCCACAATAAGTCTTTTAATGAGAATTAGATTGGGTTTGGGTCATTCTTCCTTTAATAAATGGATTCCTTAAAGAAACAAACATACAGATAAGAAAATCAGTATGAACACAAAACTTCTGGCCATTGTGTTCAGAGCATCCGTGCTAATTTTTTTAGCTTATTTCCATGTTAACCTAATGAGGATCAAATGGACAGTGGAGTCAGGGTTGGGAGATTGTAGAACAGGTTGGAAGGTCACTGGTGCTGATGCCATAGTGGCTGAACCCACTAGTGTAGCTGGGAATCCTTCCAAGTCTTTTTTTGTTTTGTTTAACTGAACCAAACACAAAATAAGGGAATACTAGTTTTGCTCAAGAGCACTTTAGGAGTCTCAGCGTTTTGTGTTTGTTTCCCTAATTCTATGGTATTTTTTATCTGTCTGGCAGAGATCTTGTACCACCAGATAAACCTGCAAGTCCCAAGTTTATAGTGACGCTGGATGGTGTCCCCAGCCCCCCAGGATACATGTCAGATCAAGAGGAGGACATGTGCTTTGAAGGAATGAAACCTGTAAACCAAACTGCAGCCTCAAACAAGGGACTCAAAGGTCTCCTCCACCCACAGCAGCTGCAGTTGATGAACAGGCAGCTTGGTGACCCAGATGGTAGCTTTTCCTACGGTGTGTTGAGAGCTCAGACTTTGTGAAGGGAATCTTTGACTTCTCTATCTTGAATGAATGCTGATGGTGGTTTTGCTTATTATTTGTATTCAGTACTGGCCTTTTTTCTTCTTTGAGACAAAACCACCAAATTACAGTTTCTCCCGTGCGTGTTTCATAGGTAGGCTGTTAGTCCAGAGTTAAAACTCTGGAGTTCAGCCATGGCCTCTAAAGTACCTCTTAATTGTGCTTGCTGAGAGATAAACCATCATTCTTGATGTCTTGGTTACTTCTGTTTTTCCCCTCTTTGGAAACCACTGGTATTCTCCCCTTCTATCAGCAATAATCTCTTAATTCAGAAAAAAAGAAATTTGGATTTTGATGCTCTTGCCATCTCAGTAAAATTTCTTTGAAAGAGTTTCTCACCTAATCTGCCAGGATACTTCTTGGAAGTGTAGAAAAGGCCTCATATTGAAAAATAATACTTAGCACAACTCAGTGCAGACTGCACCTGCATTAGGCAGGTGAGTGTTCATCACTGCCTCTTGTCCTATGGATACCAGTGCCAGCTGCAGCACTGCTGATCCTTTTCATTCATGATAAAGAATTTGCAGATATGCCTCTTCTAAAGGTGAGATTTTGTTTTGGTAGTACTGGGGTTTGAGCCCAGTGGCTAGGCAAGTGCTTTACCCCACTGAGTTATATCTCTAGCCTTGTCTTTTACTTAATTAATTTTTGGTGCCAGGGCCTTCTCACTAAACTATATCTCAGCTTTTTTTTTTTTTTAATTTGGAGACTGGGTCTCACCAAGTAACTAAGTTGCCCAGGCAGGATTTGCTCTTAGAATCCTTCTGACTCAGCCTCCCCAGTAGCAGGGATTACATGTGTGTTCCACCATATTCAGTAATCATTAAATCTTAAAAAGGAACTGATTGAAAGAAAAGGCAGTAATTGATTTTGAAGTTTTTCTCAACAAATCTTGGCAGAGATATGTATTAAATACTTTAGTCACTAAAAAAATACAGTAGATTTGGGGAGAGATTGTGAGTTAGAGAGACGGCTGTTACCTTTCGAGTGCTTTCCCTGTTGTGAACTAGTGACGGTGTGTGATGCTTTGTGGAGGCAGCTGGAAATCGACGGAAGAGAAACCAGGAGATGGTAATGATGGCAGCAGTCAGATTTCTTGACCTTGTATGTTTGTCTAAAATAAGTGTGAATTCTGATGTTCTTACCACTGTTTTTTTTTGGTACTGGGGATTGAACTCAGGACCTTGCACTTGTGAGGCAGGCGGTGGCACCACTGAGCTAAGTCCCTGGCCATTACCACTCTTGATTTTCAGTTTTATAGCTTAATATTTTGGCCATGTAAATGTGGGCGTTTGTGTTAGGCTTTGTTGTGTGTGTGGCGGTGGTGACACTACAGATGACCTGGCAGTCACAGTTCCTGTCTGGGTGACATAGGTGAGTCTCCTTCCTGTCGTGCACACGGGGGCTGGCACTGTCTGGCTACTGTCCAGGCCCGGATCTCCTGCAGGCATCTGACCCCGTGTCTTTGGCTGTCGCTTTGCTTCTGGCTTGGTACTTTATGCATTGTTTCTGGGTGCTGCCGACAGCAACGTCTGTTAAGTCTCTGCCACTGGCCACCATTATATGGCAGCACAGCTTTTATACTTTTCACTATAAAAGCGAATTTTCCTCTTAAAAACTTAAACATGAAAAGTTTATTAGCTTACGAAGTGGCCGTCAGTGGAGGAAAACTAGAAGCTTGACCTTTGTGTGCATTTCCATCACAAAGACAAAGTTTCTTGGTAAAGTATTTACCTTTAAATATTTTTCTTGAATATTTAGCTACTTCAGTCTGTTTGCCAGCAGAGTTGCTCTTTGGTATTTTAATCTTGCGTTTGACCTGTGTCCTTATGACCAGTCTAATGTATGTGTAGAAGAAAGGCAAGACATTGTTTTTCTTTGCAGGGATGACAAAAAAATACAATTAAAAGCTAATGTTTTTGTCTAATGCTTAGGTTTTCTTTAAAACTTGGGTTCTTTTATATCCTAGAGCAAAAGCAAGCAACTTACTGACTAAATGGTAGTAAGGATCTAGCTCAGGGCTTTGCATCTAAAGAAATGATTTTCTCTTTGTATAGATGAGGAAACTGAAACTCAGAGGTGCTGGTGTCTACAGCTGAGCTTACTATGGTGCAGGCATAGACCAGGGCTGTGTGCAGTCGCTCACTGAAGTGAAACTCACTGTCCTGTGTAAAGCTGTAGCATATACGTTCTGAGTAGAGTGTCTCGGGTGGCTTACTTTTGACCTGTAGGTAAAATTTCACTTTTTACTTTCAGTGTTCCTAATTTAGCTACCAGCATTTAAAATGTCAATGACATGTACAAAGGTAGAATTTTTTTTTTTTTTAAACTGAAATGAGAAATCAGGCAGCACAGGCCCCACTTCCTGCTGTTCTGGTTTTTTGACCGGGTAATTGGAGCTGACTGAGAAGCAGTGAGCTCTGCAGATATTCGAGGACACGACCCATTTCTCATCTTCCCTCCCAGCAGACGTGCTCTTTAGATAACCCTCCTGACCCTTGGAGCCGATGGTATTTGTGACCCATTTTAGGGAAAATGTTTTTCTTTTTTTGGACATTGCTGTGAAGTTAGCAATCTGCACTTACTGAGTGTACTTCAGGAATTAGGCAAACTTTCTAGTTGAGTACTCATAATCTTGCTGGAATGAAAATTGCTTCGTATTTCCTTAGCCCCTTGGTTTGTGTTTTTGGTTTACTTGCTTCCTACTTGACATCCTTCCCTGTCTTTTATATTTAATTCAATTCTGAAATGGTATTTGAGAATTTGTGCAGAATCGCTTTCCCTTTCAAAATGAGAATTATACTCCTTTATGGTAATCTTTTCTTTGGGGGGTCCTGGGTATCGAACTCAGGACCTTGCACTTGCAAGGTAGATGCAGTGCCACTGAGCTAAATCCCCAGCCCTATGGTAATCTTTTATAGGATTATTTTACCACAGTTTTGAGCTCATTTATTTCAGGACTGTTAATGTAAAAGAACATTAAGATCTTAAGACTGGAGTTCGAGGGAAATTTGTTATAGGGACTGTGTCAAATTGATTATACTTAAACACTTTTAATTCCTTCCCCTTTGTAGCGGAGATGAGTGAACTGAGTGTGGCACAGAAACCAGAAAAGCTTTTGGAGCGCTGCAAGTACTGGCCTGCTTGTAAAAATGGAGATGAGTGTGCGTACCACCATCCCATTTCACCTTGCAAGTAAGTAACATCTGACTGGTGCTGGCTTTCGGTTTAATTTTCATATCCTACATGTTTGTTTATTGTTGTTGAGTTTCATAACTAAGGGCACTGACCTCCTGTGGCCCTCCCTAGAGCAGCATACATGTTTGTGTTGCAAGAGGGCTTCTCAGTGCCTTAGACTTGTGAGGTAGTGAAATGTCAGAACTCTTTGAGGATTCTGTACATTTAAGGAGATAGATACGGTATTTGGTAACTGCCCCAGTTAGTATGTGTTTTGTTCACAGACATCCTGATATGTTGAAGGATTGGGAAGAAATTTAGTTGTGGGGTATAAAACCCTTGAATTAAGGTTTTTTCTTACTAGCTGGCTGATTTAAATATAGTGAGCTTTACCATATTTTAACCAAAGAAATTTAAAACAAGTAGTAATAGAGTTTAGAAAATCCCTTCTACAAGAACCTAATAGTGCATTGTAAATATTAACACTGAGTAATGTGCTTTTGTTTTGTAGAGCCTTCCCCAATTGTAAATTTGCTGAAAAATGTTTGTTTGTTCATCCAAATTGTAAATATGATGCAAAATGTACTAAACCAGATTGTCCCTTCACTCATATCAATAGAAGAATTCCAGTACTGCCTCCAAAACAAGGTTAGTGATTTTTGTGCACTACTGCATTTGGGTAAAAAAATAGAGAATGACATTTTCTGGGCCAGGGATTTAGTTCAGTGGTTCCACTGCCTGCCTTGCAAGCTCAAGGTCCTGAGTTCGATCCCCGGTACCAATAAAAAAGAAAGGGGGGGAGCATTTTCTGACTGTAAATGGAGTAAAAAAAGGAATAGTTTTAGAAATAATTTTGACTGATCAAAATGCCAGTATTCATTATTCATTTTTTGAGGCATGGTCTTGCTATGTAGTTCAGGCTGGCCTGAGATGATGTATCCCAGGCTGGCCTTTAACTCATGGTGATCCTCTTGCCTCAGCCTCCCAAGTGCTGGGATTACAGGCGTGTGCCTCCATGCTGGCTGTTCATACCAGTCTTTGAAGAGCAAATATGCTTATCCTGCAGAATTCTGAAGTGTTTTATCTTGACTAAAGTATATATAAAACATAAAGCCCTAATTTTAAGTGATTGTCACCTGCGTAAAAACATCAGTAAACAGCATTAAAAATTACTTTATCTGGGTGTGTTGGTGAACATTTGTAATAGCAGCTCTTGGGGAGGCTGAGACAAGAGGATCACAAGTTCAGGCCTTGTGTGGTTAGGTTAGAACATGTCTTAAAATGGAGGCTGGAGGCATTAGCTCAGTGAAAGAGTTCCCACTGGGTTTAACTTCTGGACCCGTAGACAAACAGATTCGACCATTCTTCGTTCTTATTTTTGTCAGCAGTTACAACACCAGCATCTCCTTCTACCAGTCAGCTCTGCCGTTACTTCCCAGCTTGTAAGAAAATGGAATGTCCCTTCTATCACCCAAAAGTAAGAACTTTTATTTTCCCAAAAATTAGTTTAGTGGTAGCTTCAGTCTGAGGTCTGGACGATCACTAAGACATTGAATGTCTTATATGCCTTGCCTTTTTCCACCCTTCTGCGTAGTTCTTTTGTCAGAGTTAATGCCATGGTCTTTAAAATCTGTAAGTTGTTCCTTAGGTCTGTCTGACCCATTAGGCCAAGTGGTGTGAAATGCATTATAATATCCTAGGCTCATGCGGTGGGGGATACAGTGCTGTCATTTTCTTTTCTGTCTCTGAGCATGTGGATTTTTTTTTTAACCCTCATTGTAGCACTGAGATGAAATCCAGTAGTGCTGTTTAACACCATCCAAACTTAGGCTAGTTTTGTTTGTATGCTGAAGATTGATGTTTCTCCAGCTGCTTGGCTGCTTAGGTTGATCTCTGAAATAAGCAGCCTAAAGATGACTATTGTATATGAAAGGTTTTTATGGGTAGGGATGTAGCTTAGTGGTGAGGCCTTGAGTTCCCTCCCCCTCACAAAAGGTGTCATTTCCCTAGCTATTCTGGGGCAGTAAGGGTACTTGGCAGAGTGAGCTGTGAGCAGCGGTTTGTATTGTCCTGCTGAGAAGTTTGTATTATTGTATGCTGAGTTTCCTTTTAAAGTTTCACTTGGCTGTTAACTAGGATTTTGTGTCTTTAGGGAAAGTTCATTTAAGCTTCCAAAGTATTAATAGGGATGATGTGAGATCTTACTCCATCATTGGTTAGGGTGGGCTGGTTCATTTGTGTTAATCTTCTGCATACTGTTGAAGCTCTGTTGTTTCGTTTCTGTGCAGCACTGTAGATTTAACACTCAGTGCACAAGACCAGACTGCACATTTTATCACCCCACCATTACTGTACCACCAAGACATGCCTTGAAATGGATTCGTCCTCAAACCAGGTAAAGATTAAAATAGTTTGTCTGTGGCCATTTTCAAATACTTTTCTAATATGTAGATGGCTATAAAAGTGTAAGCACACAAATTTGGGGGAAATTAAGACCACTTTTTTTTCTGCTGTTTTAAAAAAAATCAGTGGATAAAATCATCTCCTGATTTCTTTTTAACGTCTGATCATACTATGCAGACATATACTAAGGCCAGCAAGAATATCTGTGTGTCTGTCAAACCAACTTCCTTAGTCATTCGCAGTTGTGAACTATCAAGAGGAAGCCTTAGACTATTTTAATGTGGCTTATCAATTGAATTACAGATTTTAACTGCTTTATATACTTCAATTCTTTTAACACTGTAACCTGATCCATATTTGTTGTTTAAAAGTACTCACCTCTTATGTGTGTGTGTGTGTGTGTGTGTGTGTGTGTGTGTGTGTGTGTGTGTGTGTGAAACATACGAATGCAAATGCAAAACAGTTAATTTAAAAAAATTTTGGTTCTGTTTATTCAGCGAATGATATCCACTCGTACCTGGCAGAAGATCTTGCAGTTTGAAGGGTTCTACCTACTGATGAAAGATAATCTACAGAACTTGTCAAATCTCTGAAACTTGGAATACATTGCTTTCATAATATGAAGTTTATTGCCTATCTGAAGTGTCTAATTTTTCAAGTTTGTAAGTTTATTATTGAGTGATTTTAACATTGGGTATTTTCTTTTGTTGTTTAGTTTTCAGTCTGAGAAGACAGTTTTTAAAGCATTAGCTACATCCTGTTGGAACATCTGGGGTGTGTTCATGCCCTGCTGTGTGAGCCTCACATTTACAGTGGAGGACAGGGCTGCACCGCTGGGGTGAGGCAGAATCAGGCTCAGTGTTGATGGTGTGATGTTTGTAATCTGCAATGAAAACAGGAGTGGCTACAAGCATTGAGGCAGTTTAAAATAGTCATTCAGATTCTTTTTAATTTTTAAATGAATTTAGTTTGAAAAGCATGATACAGGCTTCTCAGTTTGAGTGCCACTTTGGTAAAATTGTCCTTCAGTCCTGTGCCTTCTGTGAAAAGTGCGGTGGGCATGCAGGGTGAAACAGCTGCAATGACAAGTGGAAAAAAATATGAACAATTCCTTAAAATGTTTTCATTTACTATTAACATATACTTTTAAAATTTGGGGGAGAAACTACATTATCACAAAATTATACAAAATTTTTTACAAGTATATACATAAGATACCAGAAAACAAACTTTTAAACTCACAAGATTATAAATATACATATATATTCCCACATTCTGAAAAATAACATTTTCAGAAATAACTCCACAGAAAATATACTGAGTTACTATTGAAGATAATTTTTGGAATGTAAAAATTAGATTTTAGTGTATTTTAAATGGCAGAACTACATAATTACAGATCAAATCAGATGGGTAAACTGCAGAATAGGATGAAGCTTGGCCTACCATATTATGTAGTTTTTGTGTGTTTTTAAAACTGTTAAGGCAAGAAGTGTCAAATGCTTTAGAATTAACAGGTGATTTCAAGGACTTTAGATAATGCAAAAGGGACAATAAAGACTCAAATATTTTTCAGGACCAAATTAACTGTAACGTAAATTCATTGCCTTGCTTAGTTACACACCCAAAGGATGGATAATACACCCATGTCTGTAAGAGTCCATGTTTACAGTTACACAGCCAGCCTTATATTGTGGTCATTGCCTTTCCATTCAGTAATCAGTCATGAACCATTTGGTAAGTTGCACTTGGCTGTGATGATCCCAAAGTAAAGACTGGAAACACGAAAAGAACAGAGAGCACACAGGGCATAGAGCTGCAACGTCATATCAGGCTGAAGTGAGACCCCAGTCCCATTGCATTCTGTGCGTACTCAGTTGAATTTAAGGCATTATTCATTCCAGTGCTGAGATGTTTTACATCTCTGCAGAAGAAATTTATTTTAAATTGTTTAAATTTCTAGAGATTTTTAAGTATCATTATAAACGGTTTATAGCTGTATTCCCACAGCTACAATATAAAGACCATATGGTAAGTAGGGTACAAGGGCTTAAGTGGTTTAGTTCCATCTTTTTTTTAAAACTGGGAAATAACATGCTAAAAATCTGAGTCTGTTAAGCATGTTTCTAGCCAATGTCAAATAGTTCTTTCAATTGCTGTAGTTTCTGGGTAAGCTAATGCTGACCCCATAACATCTGCTGAATAAAATGGGCTAAAGTGAACCACCATGAAGGATCACACGGAGGAAGGGGATGAGCATGGTTGGCAGTAATCCAGTGAGTGTACCAGAATGCACAGTGTGCTTTGGCATGCATTTATCCACAGAAAACCAGTGGGACTTGGAATGCCCAGCGGATACAAATTGTTAATTCTGGAGCTTAGATACTGGACACAAACATAATTTTCTTCCAAGGTTTGTGTGTCTGTGTATATGTCATGTTTCTTCACCTTAATGATGGGTAACAAGGTGGTCAGACCGTGACTAAAGTAACAGGACCTTTAGTCATGAAACTGACCACAGTGGTGAAGACTGACACTTGACCACTATGAAGGATAAATTGTAGGAAGCCAACTTTGTGCTATACATTAAGGTTATAGTTACTACCTACACTATAATGAAACTGAAATTTCTCTGTAGCCAAAAGTTGGCAAACTTGCCCCACAGGGAAAATTTAAAACAGGTTGAAATTTGGACTTCCATGAGAGGGTGGTGGTTCATAGGCATTTTTTCCCCCTTTAACTTAACTACTACTATATAAAGTCTGCTGAATAGAGATTTAATATATTACTGTATTTTAAAATACAGCTTAGTTCAGCAGAATCCTTTGATGTGTGAATAATGATGGTATAATCTTATGTTTTAAGCTTCTTGACTCTTTAATTGATCTCCTGACAACAGCCATTCAGCTTTAAAAGTGACCTGATTCATTCACTATCTAGGCTGTGATATAATTAAGTTATTGTCTGTTTATAGTATTTCCAAAGTGTTGGCCGTAGAAACTTTAGGAACTGTGATGTGTTTTGTCAAACCAAACTGGGCATTCCAGAAACTTGAGGGATTATGCTACAACGGTTAACACAATAAAAATTAATAGTACCAGTAAAGCATCTTCCAACTTCTTCACACTTAGAAAAATATATTTTTAAACATCAAGCTACATAATTTCCATTCTTCAGGAAACTACAGATAGGTTAAAGAGCAAATTCCTGAATGATGATCTTTGGCAGCATTTAAAGTGAAAGAGAATGAGGATAAGAATTTAGCCCCAGTCCACTAAAAAGGAATTCATTTTGACAGATTTTTCAAATGAATCTGGGTTCATTTTGGAACTTAGCCTATGGAGTGGCGTACATCTAAACAGATTTTTGCAATAGAAAAAAAAGCTATAAAAATGTACCAGGAATTACTAACTAACGCATTTTCAGTGATGGTGAACCACTTAGAGCTTTCAATGATTCAAATAGCCTGCTGCAGCACACATGCCATAGTTTCGCCTCCACTGGTTTATATGTTAAACAAATGTTTATACATTAGACTACATCTTTATGTAGTATTTTCTAATGAAATACTATTACTATCTGAAAACCTTTAAAAAACTGTACATCATTGGAAATAGTTATTCATCATACTACTTTCCCATTAATGAGGCTATAGTCAAAAAATTCAGTTACAGACATGGCTTCTAAAAAAATTTACATCAAAAATGAAAATGTGGCTGTCACCTGTATATCATTAACTTTGGATCTAGGGAAAAACGTGTCCTTATCTAAAGGACTTTATAAATGCCTAAAAAACGTTCTCCAGGAAAGCTTGTTTCCTTAGGGAAAAATGTTTGTTTTGAAAACTTAGCCTTTAGGGTAATGGTAGTTTTTCCTTTTTTAATGGAAATGCAAGAATACAACATTCCATTGGATGGTGAACCTTAAAATATAAGTGCTAAAAAGAAACAGTTTTTCTACATTTTCCAAGTTGGGGCTTTTTAAAAACACTTTCTTTGGTAGTGCTGGGTTGGTTCCCAGGGCTTCAGAGATGCTAGGCAAATTCTCTACCACAGAGTTCCATCCTGAGCCCTCCAACTTGGGTTTTTAAGTTTTGGGAGATTTTCTGAGCAGTGCTGAACCACTTCCTTTCTCCCCACAGCAGGTCTGCCGAAGTCACACATACACTCAGTAAAGGGGTCGTACTATACGTATTCAATCCTTCCCTGAATTGTGATCATCTGGCAGTGTATGGATTATGGATAGTTAATTAAAAAGCAAACATTTTGAACTTATCATCTGTTTTGATCATCCTGGGCACTTTTTCCTGTTACAATCTTCAGTTAGCACCACTTGTCCATGCAGAGTTTGGTTTTGATTTTTTCTTGTGTAATTCTGGTCTCTCGATGTTAATTTATGTAGCCTTCTGAGCATTCATGTCTTTTAATGAGGCATATGTACACATTTCCAGACAAATAAACTGCAATAAAAAATGCAGAGTTGATTACAATTTTTAGATTTTTAGAGCAGCTTAATTTTTTAAATTGAAGTTCCAAATCATACAGGTGTAGTATAATATTTTTCTTTGCTAACACCTTTTATCCTGTATTTGCATATATGGCTCCAAGGAGCCATCTCGTTATGTTACCTTCAGATAATGTTGACTGAGTTCATTAACCAGGTTTCAGAAAGTGTTGTATCAAATATCCTCAACTAGTAAAAGTCTACTTTTCTTGGGCTAAGAAAGTTTCTGACCTGCAGTCGTCCCCTCCGGCACTAATAACATGTCGATCACCACTGGTAAATCGGATGTTTGTCACATGGGGTGAGTGACCAAAGAACCGCTTGTGCTTTGCCTAAAAACAAACAAACAAACAGTAACAAAGCTCAGGAGATCTGATGCACACCCAAGTCAGAGGTTCCTATGAGGAACCACAATCTACCACAAGAGTTGTGGAAAGAATGGAGTTGTGACCACCGCCAGTGATGATCTGCATTTAACACACACCAGGTTATTCGGGCAGTCAGATGTCGCTCTCTCAGAAGGAAAAGCATTTAAAGTCTGACAAGTGAAAAATGGTTTGTTAAAAAGTTCACTAGGACTTTATTACTTTTTAAAAGATAGCACTGCTGGAGGGGGAGGGGTTTTTAGTTATTGAAAAACATTTTCAAAATACATATTTAAAAGTACAATATTTTTCAGATCAGGATAAAACATTTTAAATATGTGAGAAAAAATACTGATGTGATATAAAATAACAATACAAACTTACAAATTTTTCTGGACATGGGAAGTCAAATAATTTAACCATGCCAAAGTCATCCCCTGTTACAAGGCTGATTCCTGAGTGAGACACACAGGCACAGTTGACGTCGGCCTTCTCGGCGTGTCTGGACCAGATGCCTGTAACTTCATCCCCTAGAATACTAAAGACAGAAAGCAGACCCACCATAGCAGACAGAGGATTATCATATGATTTATCAATCTGTACCCTAATGTTACTTCAAGCAAATAAATTACAAAGCAGGTTGCAGGCCAGAGTTTCACCTATTAATTCCATCTCATCTCTTAAAAATTTTACAACTTTGGGTGAGGGATTTAGCTCAGTGGTGCTGCACCTGCCTCACAAGCGCAAGGTCCTGAGTTTGATCCCCGGTACCAAAAAAAAAAATTTTTTTAAAAGGGTTTATAAGATTAAAGTTTTATAATTCAGTACCTCATAAGAATTGATTGAATTATTTTTCAGGTTAAAAGTAATGCTTAGTAAGAATTTAATGGCACTTAATTGTGACTAAATGGATTATCAATCACTTGTCAGCAAATTTGAACAAATTTATAAACTAACAACTTTAAGGTAGCATTTAAGTAACCCAATATGTTTTTATTTCCTTCCTTATGGCATACTTCAACCAATCGCCAATGCCTTTAAACTTTTTATTAAAGAACCGCTCCAGCCATCTACCTCCTCAACTATACTATTATTGCCCCACTCATAGCCCTTATACTAGCGTTTTCCATATAAATTCCTTTACCAATACCATACCCCTTAATCAATATAAATTTGGGTTTACTATTCATTCTGGCAATTTCAGGCTTAGCCGTATATTCCATCTTATGATCAGGATGAGCATCAAACTCCAAATACGCTTTATTTGGAGTGCTTCGAGCGGTAGCCCAAACAATCTCATACGAAGTATCTCTAGCTATTATGCTTTTTTTTTACTATAAATTTATTCTTTCATCTTTCCCTTGAGGTACTATTTTCTATTGCTCCTAAAAAAATTTCTATCTCCTATACTTTTATGTAGTATGAATGTTTTATTTTAATTTGAGTAATATTTTTATTATGTAGCTATGATTTTGGGGGCAAGAGTTGGTTCAAAGTGGTTAGAAATTATCTGAAGTCTTCTAGGTGTAAGCTAGATGCTTTATTTTAAGCTACGCTTTGTATTCCAAGCACACTTTCCAGTATGCTTACCTTGTTATGACTTATCTCCTTTCATGTTTTTTGTGCATAGTCTAGCAGAATTATATATATTTAAGGAGCGTGATGGGCGGGAGCTGGAACTGGATGAACAGTCTATCCTCCATTAGCGGGAAATCTAGCACATGCGGGCGCCTCCGTTGACTTAATTTTTTCACTTCACTTAGCAGAAGTATCAATTCTCAGACTAAGTTTAATGTTTAGGGAGTTTCAAGGGAATCAGTCATAAAGGATGGAAATGTATTTAACGAAAAGGGGTCGTAGCTCTGAACATACATTATTCTTTTCCTAACAATTCAAGATACTTAATAAACGTAAATTACTGTTACCTAGAGAATGTCTCTAACTTCAGAAATAGGTTTTCCTAACTTTTCTGATCTTCAGTGTCATTTCTTTCCTTTTGAGTGTTAGCAGTATTTACCTAGTCCACGTAGCCCAGGTAATTCTGTCAATGGCAGCATGATCCAGAAGATGTTTCCCTGAAGGCACTTCATAAACATGCCGTTTGTAGCAGCCACTGGAGACCTTTTATCGTAGTATAACAGGACAAGAATTCTGTTAGGTGAAGGCACAGTCCACAGGGATTTTTGGAATACTAGCAAACTTGCTACATGGTTTACACATCTAATGTGCAGAATGTAAAACATCACTACAAATTCAAGGAATTGTGGAGTGGAAATGGAGAGATGATCAGAGCAGGAGGTATTTAAGTAGATGAGTATAAAGTTCTGGATCTAATGTACAATATGAGTGCAGGTAACTACTGTTAGTGATTTACACAAGCAAAAGTTGAGATGGATAATTTACTTCACTATAGTTAACTTTTTTACTACTGTATATGTATCCTGTAACATACACATTGAAGTATTTTGTGTTAAAATTTAAGAAAACAGGAGCAAGAAGATTGGTGTTCAAGGCCAGCCTGAGCAATCTAAGAGTCTCAAATTAAAAACGGACAGAATGTAGTTTAGTGTGAAGGCCCAGGGTTCAGTTCTCAGTAAACTGCCCCCAAAGAAAAGCACTACAGAATTGACGCAGAAACAGCGAAGAGTAAAGGCAAAAGCTGAAGCTGTGGAGCTGGGAGAGGAAGGGCTGAAGGGATGTGAATGCATTCATGACACGAATGTACAGGCAGGTAGTGCCCCTGTGAGACCATAACTGCTGATGCTGTACCTGGAGGTACCTGCTATCTGCGGAGAAGTCCATTTGAATGACAAAGCTTGGAATATCTTTGCAATAGCTGATTCTGTTCAGGGTGGGGCCCAACGTTAGGTCATAAAAATCCACGGAGTTCTCACTAGAACCCACTGCAAGATACCGGGAATCTGGACTGAATCTGAATACATAACAAAATGTAAAAAAACATGTTAGTCTTGATTATTTTATCTGAAAAAAAATGTCTCTTAGTAGAAAAGAATGCAGCCCAGGTCATTAGGGTGAAGCGGAAGCTTGGAAGACAGTGAAATACTATCTGCAGGCCAGTCACAGGAGGCAGGGCGAGAGGAGTCAGTGATTGGAGGTGTTTTATGAGCCTTTTGAGGTACTTTAGGGACAATATCAGTCTGAAAATGTCCCATGAGTCAGGTATTTTTAGGAATACGCGAGGGCTAAGGAAAGCCACTGTTAGATGGTGAGGTTCTGAGGAGGCTTCTGTTACAAAAGGATTGTATTGACAAGGGCTCGGTTTTTCGATTTAATAATCTCATCTGCTGATCAAAGAAATGCCCGGTAAATGGTATCTACTATTAATGAAAAAGAAAATTCATGACAAGTTTTCAGATTCTGGGACATAAATAAATGTCCATTCAATGAGTATTCAGAAATGGAAGAGTTTGAAGGCCCATAGCAGGAAGCAAGGGAAAAGTGTGATGCTTAATCACGGTTAAGAGAGGGTCTGATACATGGAGTTGTAACTTTGG